CCTGCCCCCCCCCCCCGCGCCGCTGCCTCTGCCCGGAGCCCTCCAGAGCGACCTGCACGGGCTGGAGAGGTGGGCCCGGGCAAACCTCAGGAGGTTCAACATGGCCAAGCGCAAGGTCCTGCCCCTTGGTCGGGGCGATCCCAAGCACGAACCCAGGCCGGGCGGAGAGCGGACTGGGAGCGGCCAGAGCACAGGGATGCTGCTGTGATGAGGCCCTTCGGGCACAGTGGAAGGTCAGAATTCTGTGAAGTTTCTCCTCGTTTCTCCCCGCCATGCCCTCGAGGGCTCCTCTGGGTTGGCTGTATCCCCTGGATGCTGCCTCCCTTCCTCCTTGCTTCCCCCCGCTTCTGCACCCTCCCTCCTGGGCTCAGCTCCCAGCCGCCCGTCGGCAGCGGGACTGCTCTCCCAGGGCTGCTCTGCTCCTCCACCGTCCCCATCCCGGGGGAGCCGATGGCTCCATCCCGCTGGCCGGGCAAGCGGGGTTCTCCTCCCCCTCGGCCTCTGCCTTGCCTTGGTCTCCTCCTCCGCAGGAGAGGACCCAGAGGAGTCCCCAGCTTCTTTCTCATTCTTCCTAAATGGGACCCTGCTCAGCTTGAAGGACTTCTTAAACGAGAAGGATGTCCCTGGGGGCTGCGGCACCTTCTGGCTTCACATCGACCCCTCTGGCGGGGGGACGGGGTCGATGGCGTCCCCGCCGCCCGCTCGCCCGTGCTCTCCCCGTGAGGGTCCAGCCGCGCCGGTCCCACTCCGGCAGCCACGGCGCAGCAGTGGGGACCAGGCAGCAGCGCAAACAGAGCGTCCGCTCCAGCTGAACACCTCACGGCTGCTTGCCCGGTTTCTGCAGACAGTCTGTGCACTCTGTTATCAGAATAGCTGCAGAAAAGCTTTCATGCTATTGCACATAACTCCTTTTAAAGAAGTATGTTCTGCCTTGTTCCATGCTGTAATCACAGCTTCAAAATGCTGGCATAATCTTTGGAAGCACAACATGTCTGTTCATTTGATTTCCAATTTGCCTTAATGATCATTCCACGCCACGGAAAAGGACTCTGGACATGGGACAGTCTACGCAAGTAAGCTGTGAGCAACCTGGACAGGAGTTAATTCTGGTATGTCACAATGCTGGGCTCCTCTCTCTGTGGACCTCAGCATCTCAAAGAACAACATCCCCTTCCATGGGCAAAGACCTCCCGGCGCTGCGCTGCCACGGGCACCCCCAGCTTGCAGGGTCTGGCACGGGGGCTGACGGCGCGGAGGTGGCGGTGGGGCTGCCCTCTCCCCCCGCGCCCGCCCCGACGGGTCTGCCGAGGAGCGACGTGTGCCGGGGAGCTCTACACCAACCACGGTCCGGCCGCTGTTCGCTTTGGGCAGTACTCTTCACGTTTTGGGGTCGTTTCTTTGCATGCTCACCTGCTCCTCGCAGGACTCCACTCCTCTGGCCACCTTCAGAGAGTGCACCGTCCTGCTTCTCGCCTGGGCTGAGAATTAACCTGTTCTGGCGTTGCCATTCAGGCTGACATGGCTGCCCACTCTGAGATATAGGCATGAAGGTCATTCTACGTGCACGTGATTAATGGACTAATGTCTTTCCCGAGTTCTTCTCCACGCTCTAATGAATATACTCAGTATTCGGCATGGACCTAGAGGGTATGCAGCTCAGCTGATAAAACCCGTCTTGCAAAAATCAATGAAAGATGAAAAGACCAGTGTCCATTACCAGAAGGGTCAGATGCAGCGCATCATCTTCACAACAACGCAGCAGTACTAGTTTGTAAAGTACCATTTTGTATCTGCAGATTGCTGTTTATTAAACAGCAACAAATAACAAAAAAACCTTTGTGTCTGGACTGTGCTGCAGCAAACTAGAAATTGTCCCTGTCAGCCATTGATTTAAAGGTGAAAGAACTCAACTAATCCAAAATCCTCCATTACTGTGGTTTTTTTTTTTTAATATTAAGCATTACCTCTGCATTTTGGAGAATACAGACTTTGAAACACAAAACTCAACTGACTTACAGAGACTTGCAGAGAGCAGGGTGTCCGGGTAGTAGAACAAAGACCAGGTGGCAGTTCCACAAGATCATTCTTCTAAAATGTCTGGTCAGCAGCAGGGACTGCTCCCAACACCCTTAGGATTTCGAGAGAATTCCCTGGAGTCGGGGGGAGCAACTCAAACCTTGGTTGGGGCTGGCTGCCTGAGGTGACCAGCCTCTATCACCAGGTATAGAGTTCTTCTTCGTAAGTGCAGAGGAAGAATCCAGAGGAGGCTGAAAAAAACCCATAATTCCCTGGCGGCTTTGGTGGCAAACTCTGCAGCAGGATCACAAAGGTGGCTGGTGTGAGAGGACAAGAGCAAAGTCACCTGCGAGAGACCTGGGCTGCGGCCAGGCCACAGTGGGTACGTCAGACCTTAACCAGGGCTGTCCAGGGCATGGGTGGAAGGAGAGGAGCTCCAGCCTTCGTCCTGCCCCGGGTCTAACACTGCCTTCGGCCGCAGAATACAGTTCACATTGAGCGCAGACGCAATCGTCACTCTTTTTCCTAAAAAGCTAAATATATTAGCTGTGTTACAAGTGACTCTCGGGAAAGCAGTAAAGAGTCATGCTAGTGCTGCAAAAATGTCCTACACCTCCCATTTTAAAAGGCTGTCTTCAATCTCTCACACTTTGATTCCCAAACTTTTGTGCTTTTTAAATGTGTAGCAGTGAGAAAACAACAAAGGTCATCTTAAAAAAAGGGCTTAAAACTGAAAATAGGTTAGATCACCGATATTCTGAAGTACAAATACAGACAGCACCAGATTGCCTAGGCTACCTACACCAACCTCCACACATCACAAACCTCAGATGGCCTCAAACTAGCCAGATTCAGTTGAAAAACATTACAAAAGCATAATTCTACTTTAGCTATTTTTTGCTAAACTGGCTGGGATATTAACAGTCTCAAATACTTTGAGCTCACTGTAGATAAGGGACTTTTTGCATTAGGACACGGGGTGATTTGATACATAACTTTCCTTGACTATCTTTCCGCACTCTGCACAATGCTGCAAACACAAGATATGCCAAGCAGCACACAGCTACAGCAATTTTTTGGAATTTCTCTTGTATACTACTGTGAAGTGAATTGCGACATCTTTTGAAGTAAAACCCTCTTGCAGAAATAAAGCTGACGCCTAAAGAAGGAGGATGGTGGTATTACATTAGTTCAGCATGGCACAATATTCTTTCCTAGAAAATGGCATTTAGCAAACCTTGTATTTGCTTTGTTGTATTAGAGAAGACAGAAATCCAATAACATCCTCACATTCTCATAATCTGTTGCAAAGTGCATATATCTGTGTGATAATAGCTTGGGTTAGAAACAAATATCTCAACATCTGGAATTATGTTGGAAATTAACACCGCTGAATGTGAAAGAGGACCACTGCCAAACTACAACAGCAGCACAGGTTTTGATTCATCTTGATCTCAAACTTGTCATTATCTCTGTGTAAATGAGAGAGTATCCCTACTCTCTATTGTCTTCATTAATCATTAGTACAAGGATGACCAAACACCTCAACATCTTTTGTGTAATTCTTACAGAACTCATTCCCACTTGACCCTTCCACATGACCCACTAGAAACAAAGGCCAGAGACACAACCATGGTCATTGCTCGATCCATCCACCATCAGTGACCTGCTTCGGTCTCGTGTATGTTGTATTCTTCATAAAATCCATAACTAAAAACCTTCCATGACCTTCATTTGTGGCACGTGACCAGAGCAAGGAATTAGGAAGTGGGGCACCATCTTTGAAATGGTCTTTGCCCCTTCCTCCCTAATTTGCAACACTCAGAACCAACCTTCCCTACAGGACTGCTTATACACGCTCTCAGAGCGCCTCGTCAATGACCAAACATGCTATTAGAAGAATGACAAGCTCCTAGCGTAACCTGGCAGGGCAAAGAACCGTTCTCATGTAGTGCTCCAAGAGTGCAAACAATAACAACAGCCTCCACAGCATCGCCCAAATGTAAGGCAGTTTGTTTTGCAGTTTGCCCGAAATACCTTCAACCCGCAGTAAATTGTTGTGAATCAAGGGCTTTCATTCAGTCTTCCTGTCAAATTCGGTTTTATCACACCTACTGGAGATGGTTCATGCATTCGTAAATGTGGAAATGCATCATTAAGATGAGATGCCTTGGCAAAAAGTCAGTCATTACATGCAGGTAGTAGATCTACTGAACAACTAATGCCATGGTGCAAGGCTTGCCAGGACATTCTCACCTTCTTCCTTCCGCAAAGTGCCTCTGGGGGCAGCGGGAGCCGCTCACGCCACGATGCTTTGTAGAATCAAATCACCATCTCTGCAGTCTAGGGCAAAATATATCCAAATCAAAGGGCATCCGCAGCAATAATATCAACTATGACAAGGCAAGTATGAACCGGGTCTCACAGATAAAGACTTTTTGACTTTTTAAGATGTTCAATTGAACATTTAAAAGGTTTAGTCTCATATCGGGTCTAGAAAGCACCCTGGGGGCAGGCTTAAGTAACTACGCCATTAGGCAGTGAGCTGCAAATTGCCTATTAAGTCTGACTGAAACTGTAAAATTGCTTTTCACAATGCAAATTAATGTAAATAAGAACAATTGGTTACACATATCACAGACTATCAAATTGACGATAGATGATGCATACTGTTTTTTCCCCCTGAATTAGCATTGCTTTAAAGTTAAATTTAGTGCGTGTTTAAGAGGTCTGGATGCTCCTATGATAAATTCTACCAGTGCATTATAAACTGCGCGCACGTCAGGATGTATATCCTCTGTTACATGAAATATAAACCTCCTCTTAGGCGAGTCTGTGATACTTTCTTTGCAGCCTAACAGAAACACCACAAAGCAAGCCATTCACTCAGCGACATATTCAGCCGCATCCTAACCTCATTCAGAAGAGGGAGATTATGAATCAGTTACAAAGCCATTAGGACGGCAGGAGCAAAGCTGCGCGTTTCACAAGCATCGACAAATGATCAAAGCCCCCACGTCGAGCCTTTGGGCTCCACTCCGTCACTAGCAGCAGCTAACACTGACATCGCCAGGAGATTTCGCTGGGCATCCTGTTTTTTAAATTAGTTTCCCAACACAACGCAAACCGGAACGGTCACCTTCCCTGCCTCATCTCGGGTCGAGCGGAGCGGCCGCACACAGGCACGGCCAACTCCACTGCTTGGGCTAAGGTCCATGTCAAGTGACGGGCACTCGCGGTCCTGGCAGTCTACTTCTACTCCCCAAATTCGTCTTTCAGGAAAGCTGCTGGCAGCCAGGGGCAGAGGCACCGTGACAGTCAGAGCCGAGTTATCCTGTTCAGTGGTGGGGGCTGCTCGTATCAGAGATTTTGCTCATCGTTATTAAAATACGTTCTCTGACTTTTTACTTTCCCATGAGCTACAGAGATGACTGCCATAGGTCTGTTACAGACTCCTGCATAAACCAGACTCCCTGCCAGCTCCCCAGCATTACCGCTTACCTT